GAAGACTTACAGTAAAGAGAATAACTGTGCTGCTTGAAGTCAGAAGCTGATCTGAAAGAGACAGAGAATTAATCACTGGCCTGAAGATTGAGTGTAGTGATGAGACTGAGAAAGATGAAGATACAGTTATGAGTGATGATGTCTCTGCTTCATCAGCTAGCAAAAGATGATCAGAGAAGTTGTAGAAACACTCATAAGAAGCTCAGCAGCAGTCAGACATCATTTGTAAAGATATTAGAATTGAAAAATTTTTTTTTTCTTGAAAAGTTCTTGAATCAATATATAAATATTATCAGAAACACTCTCTCTCTGTCATCTGAGTGAAAATACTTCACAGATGAATGAGAATACTTATAGTTTATAAGAATAAGAGCTGTTACAGAAAAAGAAAAAAGAAGATAAGATTTCATAGACAGATCTGAAGTATTTATACTACTTTAGAGAGATTTACTTACACTGTGAATAATCTTATGAAACAGTCAGATCACTCTAGTAAACAAGAGTGATTGTGAATTACAGGCCTGAATCTTTCTATATAACTATAAAGAGTGATTGCAGACTGCAGATATCTTGATTCTATAATTCTATAGAGATAGTGAAAGAATGAAAAATTCCTCATAATTCTACAGTGTCAAAGAACAATAATTTATGAGAATGAGTGAAAGATCAACTTATAAATACTTCTCTTTGATAAGAGTGATCTCACAGAGAGTGATTCACCTGTGAGATAAATCTGTGTAATAATTATACAAGAATCTCATAAAAATGATTAAGAGTTAACTGAAACTCTTCTGTATGAAAGATGTGAGATGAATCTGTGTAATAGTCAGAGAAGAATCTGTAGACTATAAAGAATGTCATGAAATAAGAAACTGAGTGACAGACTCTTTTCTCTTTATAGTAACAAGGGATTTTTCCTCACTGAGATTTTTATAGATATGAAGGATTTTTAGTGAGTATCACTGCAGTGCTGAGCTGATTCTATGAAGTCACTCAGTTAAAGGCTTCACAGATGAAGCCTTAGAGAGAGAGAGATATGGAAGAAATCTCACTTCTTATGAATTCTTTACTTCTATTTCTATCTCTCATATAATCAATAGAGCTAGCAGCTCTTGACTACACATAACTATATAGACTGAAGTTCATGAATACTATTCACAACTGAGCTTGAATGCTATTATATATTTTGATCCCTACATTTTATCTTTCTACCGCGAATACCTCTAGTAGTTAACAGTACATATCACACCAAGCTGCAAACACCCGAATAATCGCCTGCGAGCACTTATTCTTACAATATTATTAAGATGAACAGTATTTTAATAAATAGAAGCTGAGTCTCTGTCATTGAGAACTGACTGATGCTGTGAATGTACTATGAGATACAGATATTTCTAGAATTTATGAATTTCTACAGATGATTCATCTATACATATTCATGAATTACTGTTCTTCTTACAGATCTATTAAAGAGAAGTGTAAAAGACAGAAAAACAGAATCATTTATTCTCATTCAAGATACTGTGCAGATGTTTACAGAATTGAAATAAGCTTTCACAGATATTATAATACTGAATCACTTTAATTCTGACTTATTCAGTCAGTGTGAGACTGATATATCTGAGAATGAAATCTGTGAAATCTTTTCACAGTTGACACTGAAGACCTTCTAATATTGAAAGAATCAGAGAATAATTATCTCTGAGAAAACAGATAATGAATTGTCTGTGAGAGAAGAGTTTTTCACAGAGTCTATAAGATACTGTGAATAAAGATCAGTAATCTTCTTCTTCAAGAAGTTATCACTCATGTAGAGAAGATATGATACTCATGATTAGAAGATGTTAGTAATTATCAAATTCTTTAAGATTTAGTAATATTATCTTCAGAATAGTAAGTACTCAGTGTAAGTTCTCACTAATTATACAAATCTGTGTCACTTCTTGACAACAAAGAGCTTGATAGAATATTAAGCCAGATGAGTGAAGCTGCTTTCAGAGTATAATTTCTATATCTGATATTATTCAGATCAGCTTAATCTTATCAACATACTATCTAAATAATCTGATTATAATATCATTAATACAGAGAAGAATTCTATAAAAGAATCTCTATTATTACTGCAGAAGAAGCTGACTGTAGAGAATTAGAATTCTCTGAAGCTTGAAAACAGCACTGATAAGACAGCTGTGTGACTCAGTATAGAAGATAAAGAAAAAGTCAGATCTCTGCAGAGAACTGACACTGAAGATCATAAGCTTCTTATATTATATCTTACAATTATTGAATTAATAAAGAATAAAACAGTCTATAATCTTTTAATCTGATTACTTTTGAAATTTATTAATAAGTTACAGAAGAGAGATATCTCTACTGCAGCTTGAATATAGAAGTTAAAGAAGAAAGAATCTGATTTAAACTTGAAAGAGACAGACTCTGAGTACAATAATATTACTAAGAAATCAAGTCACTGATAACTAGAAGAATGTAAACTTCTACTACTGAATAGTTCAGTCTTCATCACTCATAGCACAGCAATGTGTTAGAAGTTATTAAGAATTTATTATAATAATTCTCATATAGAACACTTCAGGTTAGAGAAGACTGAGAAGCTTCTAAAATATAAATATATTTAAGATAAGCTCTGAGTAGATGTCAAAGAGTATATTAAGATTATAATATCTGTTAAAGAATAAAGATATCATGATATAAGTAATACAGTGAGTTAATATCACTGTCTGTTTCAAAGAGTTTATAACAGAATCTATCAATGAATTTCATAGTTAATCTGTCAAAGTTAACAAGAGTTAAAGAATATGACTTAATTTTGATCATTGTTAATCACTTTATAAAGATAATCAGATATATCTCTATTTATAAAAAGATTAAAATCTCTGAATTAACTGATCTGTTTTTAGATATTATTATTTATAATCACAGTGCTCTGAAATTATTAATAACAGATTAAGTATCTCTCTTCATCAGTAAATAGTGATCAGCTTTTTACTATTATCTTATAATAAGATGTTTTCTCAGTACTGTATTTCATCTGCAGATAGATAATCAGACAGAATATCAGAATCAGACACTAGAACAGTATTTTCAAGTATTCTATTTATATTATTAGAATAATTAACTCAAACATCTTCTAACTGCTGAATTCATATATAATAATATAAAGAATATAATCTTAAAGATATCTTCTTTCTATACTTATTATAAATATAATTTTTTATTACTCAGTGACATTATAGATGATATTTTAAAGAGAGAGATAGATAGTCAGAATATTGAATAGATACAGAGAATAAAGTATTTCTCAGTATCAGAAGTAAAAGTAAGATTGAAACTTTTAAATAAAATTTATAAGAAGATAGTGAAAAGTATTCACTATTCTCAGAAGTAGTAAATGAAATACTATAATTAAAAACATCTTTTAATGAAGTTCTTGATAGAGAATTAAGTACTACTTTTAACAAAGAATATCAAGATAATAAGACTGTGTAAGAAGCTCAGTAAGTGATAATCAGAATCTTTCTCAGTAATAAAAGTAATAAGTAAGTAGATATATAAGTTGAAATTACTTACAGAATTGAAATCAATTCATTTTATTTTTTATATTTTCTATTTAAAGCTCTATAAATAATATTCTGAAGTGAAGCTGTCTTGACTGAATAGTATTAAGATTAAGAGTGATACTAAATATCTTATGAAGAAAATATTGAATAAGTAAATATATTACAGTAAGCTTCAATATCTTATTAAATAAGAAGATTATTCATTATCAGAGAATTTATAAGAATCACTTAAGTATTTAAAAAATACTGAAAAAGAGATTATAAGCTATGAGATAGCTAGTAGAGATTGCTCTGTTATATATTAAAGATATTGAATAAGAAATACTACTTAAGACTTCTCATTTTTTCTTAAAGAGTTTTTAGAGATAATCTTGTAATAATAAGTCAGTATCTTAAGAGCTCTGTAGTACTCTTCTTCTATTTTCTCTTAAAGAATTTTTTAGAAGTTTAATAAGACTATACAAGTGTAAAATTCCTGAAGTGATTAATAAGAAAAGAAAGAAATATTTAAAATTAATAAATAAGATTAATATTATTAATCTACAGACTGCTGCTATTCTAATAAGACTGCAGTCTACTGAAAAAGTAAAAAGAGAGAATCTCAGAATCTACTTATTAATAATCACATCTTCATTAAAGTTATTCTTTATTATTAAAGTCTCTAATATCAGTATCTTTATCTGCTGAGAAGTTAGTACTGCAGTATCATAGAGAAGCATACTGTAGAAGAGTATAAAAGATACTGAAAGTATTAACTTATTAACTTATAAAGTATCTCAGTTATCTACTTTAACTGAAGTGAAATTCTCTTTAATCAGTGATTAATCTCTACAGTGCTTTCAACAGTAATACTAGCTGATCTCTTCTTAGAGTCAGTCATTCTGAGATGTTTTTTTATCTCAGAGATTGATACTTTCATCTTCTTTTACAGATGAGTAAGAGAAATCTTCTCAGTCTTAATAGAATCTATCAATACTTAAAGCTTCAAGATTCTCACTCTGTACTACTTGAGTATCTAGACTTCTTATCAGAGCTGATATAATGTCTTTCTGTAAGATAATACTTATAGAGAGACAGAAGTCATTGTTACAGACATAATAAAAATAATAAGAGTAAGAGAAGAGATAGATGTATAAAATCCTTCTCTTCTTCAGCTGCTTAACACAGTGTAGATAGATAATAGTACTAGTCAGAGACTGTACTGAAGCCTTCTTACAGAGAGAAGACAAAGAAATTATAAGATTCTGTAGACATAACTCACCAGTATTCTGAGCAGAGCTCAGGCATGTCACAGAAGAGAAACTACAGATTGAGCTTATCAGAGCTGCTGTCTCTGAAATCAAGCTCTTTTCAGAGTTCTCTTCAAATGACTACGCAGGGTCATATGCTACTGTGTTGATTGAGAGGGAAGACAGTGTCATAATGATGATGAGAAGAGCAGAGAATAAACTGAATGCAGATGAACTGACTGGCAGAAGAAATGACACCTCACTACAAGATATGGCAATTACTGCCGCGGCTGCACGAGAAGCAGAAGAAGATGTGACAATAAGAGCAGTACTCTCACAGCTCATCACTGTCACTGTCTTCAATCTGGCTTTCTTGATAATCATGGAGACTGCAGCTGCATCATGAAGATGTTTATTACTCACTAGAAAATGTCAGAATAAGTCTCTTATTATCTCTCAAGAATAATACTCTCATGCACTCACTATTACAGATGAGAAGAAGAAGAGAAAAATATATTACAGAGAGAAGAAATCTTTTTAAAAAAATCCTATCACTACTGTTAGCTTTGTCTCTAAAACACATTACTTTTGCAGAGAATTTCATATATAGAATGAAATATAATGAGAGATCTGTAAGTCACTTGTTAACTATATTTTTCACATTTCAAATTAATATATAAGAAACCCACTTATCACATGTTTAATTTAAATGAAGATGAGAAAAGAAAGATCTATACAGTCAGCAGAAAAACTCATCTATTTCTTTATATTATACACAGCATATATACTATTAAATCAATTGACAACTGTTACTATATAACAAAGATAACTTCTAATTCAGTAATCTTAAGAGTATAGAGACTATGCTCTTAAAGAGAAGAGTATTATTATACTCTCAGTTATAATAAGACTCTGTTATAGTTTTACACAGCTTATCACTTTTATACAGATAATTTCATTTCATCTGAATCAGTTTTCAATCACTCTATAACATTATTCAGATATATCATAGAAAGAGCTGATTAATGAATATAAGAACCTCACTTTTATATAAATTTAGCCAATTACTCTTTCTTGACAATGAGACACTGCTGAGATATTACTCTGACTATTCTCACTCTTGAAATAAGAGAAGAGTATTCACTCATTATCTATATAGAATAGCTAGATACTGACTTCTTATTAAAGAAGTCAGTGATTTATTTTTTTCTTCTACTGAAATATATACAAGAGTTACTGCATATCTTATACAATCTTCTTAGTATACTAAGTATCATATCTGTGATATTCTTGCAATAACTCTGTAGCCTACAAGCTTGCTATTTGAGTAAGATAGTCAAGCTCACTTATGCAGCTTCTCAAACAACTACCTCTACATGATACTGCTGACTAGTCATTACTTCGGTTCCGCCATGTTATAAATAGTAATACTGTTTCACTTTAATCTCTTAGTCTTAATTAGATTGAAGACAGATATCTTCTTCTTTATAATTTCAGAAACAGTCTTATAACTATAGTTAAATGAAAACTGAGTTTCAGTGATCTCTTTCTCATGAAAGATATAATTTACATAGATTAACTAAAATATTCATAATCAGAAGCTTTTTATAATAGTGAAATTCTTTTATCACTGATATCACTACTTTAAGAGTCTTATAATAGTAATCATAATAAGATCTAATCATAACAGCTTATAACAGTTTAGTTCAATTAAGAAACTCTCACAGTAGCAGATCTACTGAGCTCAGAGACTGAGTGAGTTTTAGTTCAAGATAAAGCATATTAACAGAACTAAGAACTCAGTAGATAAATTCTCTCACAGATGTGACTATGTTAAGAAGATCACAGCAATAGATATAGAGAGACTAGAGAAGATAGAAAAGCTTTATAGAATACTCAGATTGAGTGTTATAAAGAGATTAGCTGAAGAGTCTCATAATCTCTTATAAGAGAAGAAAGAGAAGAAAGAAAAGAAGTCTATATAACTACTCTTAATAACACTGAGAGTTAACACTCTGAGAATTTCTGTGAGATTTATTGAAGAGAATATCTATAATCTGAAGAATTTTCAGACTTTGAGAAGTATTGTAGAAGATCTGATGTAAGAGAAAATTATTATTATTATTATTATTATTCTTTCATTATACTCATATGCAAGCGGAGCTTATGATGACTCCTTGCGTGATGTTAAATACAGGTCAAGTGTTGGATATACAGGAGGAAATACAGGTGTTGAGACCATGCCAAGATAACAAGAACATAGAAAATACAAAGAAGTGACAATTAGATACATGCGATAATAACTTCCCAGCCCAGGAACATAGAGTGATTTTATTGAAGCGATTTGTACACCTCTGTATTTATTAGAAACCTGAGGTGCTTGAGTTCCGGATTTAATGTATCCCCTGCGGGTTTCGAACCCACACGCCTTGGTTTCCCATGCCAAGGCGCTACCGGGTGGCCGCATTAACCATTCAGCCACCGGGGTGATGTAAGAGAAAATGAAGTATAAGTCTTTATAAGATCTTCTATTCAGATTATCTAAACTATAACTAAAGAATGAATATACTTAGTATATTTGAAAACTACTCACAGCAGAGATCAATTCTGTAGAAACAAATAATTAAAGAGACTTAAGTAGTCTCTTATAAAGAGAGGACTGAATTTATATATCTATGAATAAGTTTCTATATATATAACTTATTAAACATCATTATAATCCTTCTATAGCAGATTATTTTACAGATACTAGAACTTATGAGTTACTTATAAGAAAATACTTCTGACTGAAGATATGAGAGCTTGTAAAGAAGATAGTAAATTCTTATACTATTTATCAGAACTTGTAGATAATGTGATTCAGATTATATGAAGAACTTACTTCTCTACTCATTCTGCAGAAACTGTGAAAATAGCTGAAAATAAACACTTTTAAAAGCCTTTCTGAAAGTAAGAATATATATAATACATGATTTGACAATGTACTGTTGATAGTAGATTACTTTATCAAGATAACACACTTTATATTCACTTATAAGAACTTAAAGTCAAAGAATTTAACTCATATCTGTATCTGTGATATACTCTGATTGCATTAGTTATCTGTGAATATTATCTCAGATAGAGAATTAATCTTTACAGTGAAGTTCTGATCTGATCTGATAACTATATTGAAGATCTCATGAGATCTAAGCATGACTTTTCATCAATAGACAGATGATTAGATAGAATATCTGATAAGTATATTAAAACAGTATCTACAGTGCTTTGTTAATTATAATCAGAATAACTGAGTGCATTGATTATCACTCACAGAGTTTATATATAACAACTTACAACATGTCAGTATAGATAAAATCCTCTTTAAGATACTCACTGAGACTTACTTGTAAATAATCTTCATAAATCTGTGAGAGTACACTATAGAGTGTGATAATACCTGTGAATGAGCTGAGAGAATTCAGAATATTTAAAAGAAAGTCTGTAAATTCTTGAGAAAGATCTAAGAGTGTCAGAAGAGATACTATGACTTTAAGTATATTATAAAGAGTTGTAAGAAAGATGATAACAATCTGACTAAGTCTGACAAATATCACTATATAGAGATTTAGTAAGAAGCTGAATCTCTTATTGACAGAGTCTTATAAAATTATAAAGGAATTAGTTTATAATTCTACAGATTAAAACTGTTATGTGAGTTACAGATATACAATGTTTGTCATATCTCTTTACTCTGCAAGTATAAGAAATTCTTAGAAGAGAAGTCTATGACTCATCACTCTATTCACAAAGTATTAGAGAGTGAAAGAGAATATTAGATTAAAGAAATTCTTAACTTAGAGAAGTAAGATTAGACTGGCCGTGTGACCGTGTCTGAGATCAGAATCAGAATTTTTAATAGTCTCATTATCAATTCGACTGATTCCATTACACGGTTTTAACATTAAATAGTAGTCTTATACTGTCTCAGTGAGATTTACTGTCTACTCTTATTACATTTTTCAAATGAGAACATGATCTTCACTTCTCAATTTAAATTATTTTTATTGCTTTAAATGACTTTAAATCTCATTTGAGCATTATCAAAAAGGGTTACTTTTTAAAAAATTAAAAATAGTCTAAAAAAAACTTAAAATGTCTAAAAATAGTAACTTTATACTAAGAATGAGACTAAATAAAATCAAATGAAACCACTTTCTCATTCTTTTCAAGTTATGATTTCATTTTGAGATTTGATATATAGTCACTTTGCATGTTTTTTAAATGACTAGTCTCACTGAGATTCATGCCAAGAAATGTATAAAATCAGATCAAATGAAATTAAATGTGAAATTCATGATTTCAGCGGTCAGTCTATTACAAACTCTGATTTAAGATATAGTGATAAGAATATTCAGATAAGATAAATAAGTTTACTGAGAAATTATTCAGATAGATAAGATATCTGTAGAAGCTAAAATATAAGTTTTATACTATAAATTCTAATAAGTCAGAATAATGCAGTCTTTGTTAAGAATCTGATTATAATAAAGATATTAACACTGTTATTTATAAACTCTAATCTATAAAGATAGTCAGTTTCTACTGAGATGAACAGTCTGCAGTGTATACAAAGAAAAGAAGAAATCATATTCTCATTAAAGTGTTAAAAAATAAAGAAAATAAAAACCGAACTATAAATATAATTTAAAGACTAATAAATAAAAAATAAAGAAAACTCACACTTACATTCTTGATATCTGTAACACTTAATCTTCTTATAACTATTAATTTTCCTCTTTAAAGAAGTAGAAAGTATTATACTCATAGTACAGATAATTATTACATTTAACATAAAAACTGTCAGAAATACACAGACTTCAAATGAGTTGAATATCAGAGTATATACAGTTATAACAGAGTCTTGAGAACTGATTATCTGTATATATAATCAGATATCTGTTATGAAGCTATATTCACTTCTTCAGTTATACTGAAGTATTCAGCTCAGAAATAATTAAGATATGAAGAGAGAGTTAATCTACTCAGATTAACTTCTGTTATAAATTTATAATATTCACATTATCTTAATTACTCAGATTTTACAGTTATCTGAGAACTCATCTCTCATTAACAATGAAATTGCAGAAATGTACTGTGATATAAGAACTGTTAATAGAAAATCTAGATATATTTACATATATCTGATCAGAGATTACATAGATAGAGAAGAGATAATTATATATTTACAGAGCTATAGAGAGCACTGAGAGCACTGAGAGTTTTACAGAAACTATCAGTCAAAGTTTGTACAAAATTACTTATAAGAAGACTTATGATAAAGAGTAGAACTGCACTACTGAGAGTCAGAAGCTGGTCTGAGAAAGGCACAGAGTTAACTACTAACTCAAAGATCAGATACAGTAA